TCACTTAACTCACCCTAATCTCCACTCCTCATAAACCCTCAGTCAGCGCTCGGTATTGGTTTCTCCTCTGGAGCTCCTACTGTACCTCGCCTGTTGTTCTCATTGCCTTCCCAATTCTGAACCTTTGGGTTTTGGATTTTTGCCTGCATATCGACTACATCTTTTGCCTAGCTATTTGGATTTTGGCACAGGGTCCTAAAATACGTTTTAGCAGCTCGCCGTAACAGATCATTGAGGTCTTTCCCTGACATAACTACATTACAGGTTAGTCACAATTTTCAGCAGAAAAGCATGATGCAGAAGATGTAAGAGGATGAAGTAGAGCCTTATGTAACACAGGAAATAGGTGTCCCTGTTTCAGGTCCACTCATAGCCTGCTTTGTCCAGACAGTCCATTTCTTTCACAGGCTCCCTATGCAATATGTTTTGTCTCTTTAAATTGTCACCTGTTGAACATTGTGCTGAAGGGAAAAATGGTCCATTTAAATTCATTTAAACTTGCATTTAAAACCTAAGGATTTTGTGACAGACTACCCTTTAATGGTAGCTAAATGTTAGGAACTTACATACATGAACTCTCGACTTGACTTGACTGGATCTTTTGCACTGCGTCTGGACATATATCATTGTATTTAGCTACTTTAACTCTAATTTGGTCTGTAACTATATGGTTTTCTTAAACTTTTTGTACCTTACGAACAAGTAATAGTGGAATGAGACCTCAACTCTGTTGTGTCCATTTTGGCTGGTCTGCCCACTCTGTCTTGTTTTTCACTGGTAAGCCAACACAGAAACACTTTGCCAGCTAAGGTTCTGATTCCCCTGGGCTAACAGGGACCGTTCACTCCCTGGATGCTCACATAAGGAAAACATGGCTTCACACAGGTCACCAATCCCCTAATAACTGATTGAGCACACATTCTCCCTGGGTATTTAGAGTATCTGTATGCCTCCCTCTGGTGTCCTGTTCATGTACTTGACTCTCCAGATCTAGTTGCCCTGCTACAGAGACATAGAAAACTTAAACTGTTTTAATACAGTAAGAAGCCTCTTCACGGCCCAAGATTTCAATTTTACTTAATTTCTGTTCCTTTGTTGTGGTAATATTGTAAAAAAGGCATTATTTCAGCCTTAATTACAATATTCATTTCTTTTTCACAT